GTTATAGCTACACCCTCCCACAAACAGTACGAGAAAATACCTTACATATATTTGGCATCCGACATCTTGGTACTGTTCTTTAAATGCAAAAAAAACCCCACTGTTTTAAGAGCGTAATTAAATAATTTGTTAAAGGATTAGTGACATTTATGCATTCAACAAACATGCATTTTGTGTTAATGATAGATCGGGCTTAATTCTGGCAGGAATAAAAGCAACACGGGCTTAAGTGGGTAACAGATTTCCGGCTTGGGCCCCGGGGAAATTCTCGAATTTCGGCTCGTGAAGACTTATAGCAGAAAACACCTCGAGAAGACGTATCATATCTCAGTGCTGTGTCATGTCTTGTTATGACGCGTGAAACCTTAGTTCTCCGCAAGCATTTCTGGCGGCAGCCATATTAGTACATCGCTAATGCGACCAATGGGATAACGTGGGACTTATTTCGTACTCCCCTATTGGCTGAGCGTAATCGGGGACTTTGAAGATGTTCAAGGTCATTCCCGCCACGTGTTGCTTTGATTTATTTAACTACGTTGTGTCAACTGCTGAAGTTATGCACTGTGGAATGACGTATTAAGGTTTCACTTCTTTTACAGCGCTCTCTCAACTGGCGTTGATGTTTGTTCGTGTCAGGCATTTTCCTGTTGTGACGTTCTGTTTCATGAATTAGTATTTTAACTGACCAAGAATTTTTTGTCTGTTTGTTTGTTTGTTTGTTTGTTAGGTTTCTCAACGTTGATGTGGGCCCGTAAATTTGTCATCTCGCCTGTGAGCAGGCTACTAATTGTATTGTCCACGTTATCCCGGCGCAGATATGGAGAACCTGTGACTCGCGTGTTGGGTAACACGCGAGGGCTCTATAAATTACACACATGCAGCGTAATTTCATGCGAACAAAATGTATTTTAACATATCCTGCATAAATAATAAACATATAAAATAAATTTATTGGAATATGAGTCATGACTTGTGTTTATATGAAGGGTATATAGACTTGCAGACTTGTTGAACGCTTCAAGTAAGAAAGTGGTTGGTCTGTGGAGGTTAGGTTAGGTTAGGTTCACGTTTCGACATGTTTGGAATAACCCCCCCCCCCCTTGTACACACTTGGGTAGAGCTGTTGGTTACTCCACGGAGCCAGTCTGGACGTAGTGCTGAGTTAAAAACCGACGTTTCGGATACTGAGGGTTTACCCTGATGGTGGAGACAGAGCGAGTCTCTGAAACGTTTCTTTCTAACTCAACATTGACGGCCCCAGAGAATTTTATGGCAGTTAAAATTAACTTTTGGTCCTGGTATATAAATTTCGTTCTGTTAAATTTTATAACAGATGAATAACCGATGTAGTTGATTAAACTTTCGCGTTTTTAGGAAGTAATTTACGTGAAGAAACGTTTTACC